TCTTCTCTTTTTTTTTTTTATTCTGGGCCAGCTTTAGCTCTGAGGCCTCGCTGCTGAAAACATAGATACAATGTTGCGGCTGAATGGAAGCCCTTTTCTGGGGTTTTGTTTAGCTTCTTATTTGCAACATAGTATATAGTTGCTTAGAGTTGCAACTGAGAGGCTGGCAAGTTAGGCGAGGAACATTGGAGTCTGCAGCAAGCAAGCCTCGTGCTGGCTTCAGTGCCTGGCTGCCGGCCGCCATCTTGGCTGACAGTTAATTTGCATATACTCACTAATTAGCCAATGAAAAGGGTAGCGGTCGTACGCTAATTACCATGTTTCTCTTTTATTAGTGTAGATTGTAAGCTGATTCAAATCCTTCCTAAGAGAAGATGGGTTTCACTAATATAATTGTTAGGTAGCTTTATAGATACAATTTCACTTAATTGTCATAACAACCTGGAGAAGTAGACATTAGTATTATTCGTATTCACACACAGGACAACTCTATTCAAAGATATAAAAAACTATCAAGTACCACATACAACAATAAGAAAAGTTTTCTACTGGTTTAAGTATCTTTAGATAAGAGTTATTACTAAATTAACAATTGTGTGAATGAGCTAAAATAAAATACATTTAAATTGTAAAAGGAAAGAGTTAGGCTAGTAGGTAATCTTACCAATAATTACATGTGATTATAAAATATTAGGCAGTTAGAGGAAGATAAAGAATTCCTTTGATGAATTTCCTTACTCTTTCTCCTTTCTTTTAAAAAGAAGATATGAGTAGGGTAAAATTTAGATGAAAATTTTACTTGAAAGTAGAATGGATTAGTTGACCTATATGAGATGAAAATGCTTTGTCAAATCATCTATCACGGACCTTACTAACTGCTTCTGATAGCCCACCAGTATAAGGAGATGGGTTCTGAGCTCCTTTGCGGTCACCGAGCTGTCCTGCCCTTGTCTGTGTTTCTGGGCAAAGAAGTGTCTGAAAACAGCATGAGCTGGCTATGGAGCATATTAATGAACATGTGAGCCAGGATCAGCACTAATATAATTTTCCAGTCCTTTCTTGTAGAGCACAGGGTCCTTCCATCCTTATATCTATGTGAACCCAAAGCAGCAGCACTAGCAGTCATGCCTGCAGTGATGGTACTATGCAGAAAAGCCATAAAATAAAAGAGATGGGTCTTCTTCAAGTTCAGATATGATCATACACAATTCTTAAAGTGATATCACTTATTTACTATGCTGGTTGATCATATCTATCTTGCAATTTCAGCAAAAGGTGCAACATTTCTACACAATTGTTCAAGTACTGAGTTAAAGATGACTAATGCAAAACTGCAATGATATATTCTCTCTGATGTCAGGTCCAAGTCCAGAGCTTGGAGAATAGACTTCCCTTACTGGAGCAAACAACAGATTGTTCTGAAAAGTTTTACCTAAGGATATTAAGGTCTCTGCAGGTAATGGTTGCTTAGCTAAGTCAGGAATGGCTCACCTAGACAGTTCTCCTGTGCTTTTGCAAATTTTCAATATTTCTGTACACCTTGACCTAATGAATGAGAAGGCATCAACAGAAACAAGTCTATTTGTTGGATGTCCAACATGCATTGGGCTTGCATTGAGTATATTTCACTGAAATTACTTAGCTAGCAAGTTGCTCAGCAGGGATTTGAACTACAGGCTGCCTGATTCCAAGAGCCACGTTCTTGCTCCTACCCTGCAGTTTCCAGGCTTCCTGCTGCCACACAGAGGGCACAAGTGTATATGAAGTCTAAGCACTCCAAAAGATATGCAGAGCTTATTGACCCCTGAATCCTAGGGGTCGGTTTATAGTCATCTGATTAATTTTATCTGCAGAGGCAGCTCCCTTTAGAACAACTTCTTGGCAACATGCTGGGCAAGCATGGAACATTCTAAGGAACAGAACATCTCTTAATTCTATATTCTGTTTTGGCTTCTTGGACTTACCTGGTGTGAGGAGGGCTCCTCCTTCAGATCTTCATCCAGGTCCACACCAACTCTGTTAAAGAAAACAGAAAACTGGTAATGGCCTTCCTGTAGTTTAGTTGTGTGCTTGATCACCTGAACCAAACATAATACAAAATAGAGGTTTGGCAAAAAAAAAAAATATCCTACCTTCCCCAGAATCAAAAGAACTTCAAATCGACCTATGGCAAATGAGACCTGCACAGCTGGGCCCACATGCAGCGGGTGAGGTGGAGCACCAGGCTGTTCCTTACCATTATCTTTCCCAGGAAGAGCAGGGCCTGAGAACCTGGGAGAGGAGCCCTCAGGAAAAATACCTCTGCAGCCCCAAAACAAGGATCCTGGATGGAGGGCTGCCTTGGTACCACCACAGGACTCACTGACCAAAACTGCTCTGGGATTATGGGAGCCCAAGCTAGAGCAGGCTCCCCAAAGCAGAAAAAACTGCTCCTAAGTTTTAGTTAAAATAAGTTTGTAAGTTTTGCCTGAATAGTTTGAAAACCTCTTTATATGATAATGATTTTGTATTAGAAAGAATAGGAAGATAAGGTAGCTTTCCCTCTAGCCAGATTGATCAAAATGATTGAGAGATGGGAGGCATCACAGCGTGCCTGCTCACACACAGACACACCTGTGTGTAGTACTTCTCACACAGACACACCCGTGTGCAGTAGTGCTCACATGGGACATACCCGTGTGCAGTACTGCTCCCACGCAGACACAGGTATGTGCCCTGTAAAGACAGTTTCTGAGAAACTTCATTTCACACAGCTCAGAGAAGATTCTCAGTGCATATGCCGAGTTATTGAATGCATTCCTAAATTTGCGCTTTGATGGGCATCATGAAAACAAATCCTCCACTTTGGATTTTACATATTTCACGACAGGATTTCCACAGACTAGCTTCTGGTTTGGTACATTTCGAACCTTGTTTTTCCCTGCTGCCAGGTGGAGTTCTGCGGCCAGGTGCTATCTGATACGCTCACTTTGCTTCAATCTGACACTGGTCCTGAAACTCGTGCCTGCACTGGTGTCCGGCAGTGACTCGCTCCACACAGAAGTGACTGTGTGCCACAGGGTCTTATCCCACTAAAGGCAAACTAAATGTATTCCCAATTCAGCTTCCCTATGTGGGCCCTCCTACACCCCACAGCCCTTCAGGGCCTTCTGACCAGAGGAGAAGTCTGATGGAAGGAAGCTGGTGTAGACAGGAACAGTGCTGGACCCCAGCTGTGGCTAAAAATATTCTGTTTGCAAATCTTACAAAAACACAGGACCATGGGAACACAATGCTGGGGCTCTTCCCAGGCTCTTGGAAGGGCCAGGGCATGTACAGGGCCCTGGAGCTTGGACTTCCCCTGTTCCTGGTGTGTGTGTGGGTGGCCTTGCCAGGTAGGGCAGGGTGGGGACTGTGGGGTGTGAAGCTCAGGACCTCAACTACAAGCTGCACTGGAGCCTTTCCTGTGAGCACTGCAACTTCTGGAGCTGTAGAGTCTTTTCTTTAACTCAGAGCCCTGTAAACACAGGTCACCTTGCCTCAGTCCTCCAGGTGGAGGAGGGGAAGGCAGGGTTAGAAGCCAGCAGGCAGAGGTGGGAGCCTGTGGAAGGAAAGCGGCAACAGTGGACAGGCAGCCATTGAAGTACCTCTGATGCTTGAAAAAAAGAGTGTCCTCTGGGTGTGAAGAGCCCCTTCCCTCTAACCCAGGGATGAAATGAGTAGCTTTTTATTTTACTCCGAACTTTTGGCCTTCAGGTAACTGGAGCCCCTGGAGGTGACTAACCTTGGATCCTCTTGGAGTACACAGAGCTATTTGATCTATTTCATTGAAGTTGGAGGGAGAGAGGGAAGAGAAAGGGGTGAGGAAGGAGAAAGGTGGAGAGCAGAAAAAGTAAAAGAATGAGGGGAGGAAGGGAAAGTGCAAGGATGAGGGGAAGATTGGGGGAGTAGTGAAGAGAGAAGATGGAGAGGGCAGAAGGAGGTGGAGGGAGGGGAGGGAGAGAGAAGGATAAAGGAGGTGACAAAGAGGAAGAAGAAAAGGAAGGGGTAAAAGAAAGAGTGTGGAGGGGGAATTAAGGTCCAGCCTCCCAAAGTGAGTTCAGGCAGTGTGACCTTGAGGTGCTATTGGCTGGTGCTATTGGCCCTCTATGAACAGTAGGGCCCAAGCTGGAGGCACCCAGCCCCCTCTCTAATTTGGCTGGCCCACCTTAGCCCCTCTGGTAGTTCTGAGATCTCTGGCTAATGCTGGTAGTTCCCAGAAGCCTTTGTTGCTGTGGAACCCTAGATTTCCACCCCCAGGCCCACCCAGGTAGACTATGATTAAACAAGGGTCCTGAAGTTCCCACTGCTGCCTCCGTTTAGGGTCTTTTTCCAGCTCTCTATCTAGAAAACTGGAGAGAATAGAAATCAAATTTCACAAGATACCCAACATTTAACGTTTGAGGCAGTATGTACTAAGGTTTACCCCTAAATGCTAAACTTTTTTCTAAGAAGCAGAGCAGACCTTTCAAGTTTCAATTATTCCAACAGCCAGAAGGAGCTGAGCAATGATGGCAGGCGATTCTGTTTCTTAGTTTTATGTGGGACTTGGTGAAAAGCATCTGACAGTGAGGAGCAAGGACAGGCCTCTTCCCTCCTTCCATTCCACAAAGGTCAGGGTCTGTTCCTACTCCGGGGCCAGGCCTATAGCCCTTTCTGGCTTGAGGAGAAAAAAGCTCTGTGAGAGTTATCTTCCTCCCAGGGAAGCCTGGTGACCATACAGTAGAGGTTCATGCAAACAGCTGGCAGGTTTGATTAGAAGGATCTGTAAAGGCTCACTGTAATTTAAATGCAATGAAGCAAAGGCACATAAGAACGATGCCTCTTTCACTTGTAATTTGAACTCCTTTGGATAAATGTTGTGCTAAAATTATTCCCTTCCTCCTGCCCCCTTAGACAGAGTGTGGCTGGGTCACTCAGACCTTCGCTGGAAGCATCCATATGGCACTGGTGATACTATGATGATCTCTGAGAGATATACGGACTTCTTTATGCCCACATTAATTGTCCCTGGCTACTAATCTTTTCCTTTTTTAAATTCTTGTATCTGCTGGCAGATTGCCTTATCTTCTGCCTGAAACATTACAGTAAGTTAGCATAGTGTCCCTGTTCCCTACCCCTTTTAGTGTAGTATGGGACTGATGACCTGATAGTCTAATTTAATACATTTTTTCCTTTCAAGTTTATAGTATGTGCTCATATAAACACATATAACAAAATAATAAAATCCAAACATTGTAAAAGGGCTTACAATAAAACACAGTTGTTCTCTGCCCACCCTGCACACACATCCTCAGACCAAGTCTCCACTGGCTCTGAGGGACATTCTCTGCCTTTTCTTCATGGTGATATGTGAACTGTTACCAACATTCTGGGCACATTCACTAGCATCCCCAGGGCTCAGCAAGCATGCCAGCTGCCTCTGCATCCCTTAGTCTCCTGTCCAAGAAAGATAGTCAGAATGTGAACATGACATTCTTTTGGGATTAACCCCAAATCCATTCACTTTTACACATAAAGGTCATATATGCACTGTGGGTTCTTGAGAGATTATTAGAAAGATGAGATGGTGTCATCTCAGGTGGTGGTGCCAGTGTGTGTATAGTAGCTCCAAGGTGAGATCACAGGTGTATAAAATGCAGTTCAATCTCCTTAGGTGATGCCCATGGCTCTTTGGTGCCGCCCAGCAGTTTAAGCTATCCTTCCTGCTGGTTTGATGTGAGCGCAGTGCCTCAGGGCTGGTAATTGGACTTTTCCTTGTTTCTGAGCCTCAGTACTTGATATAGTCTCTGAGTCCCAGCAAGGCTGGGCCAGAGGAATCTGTCAGTTCCTCTCCCATTGACTGAACACCCTCCCTCCAAGTGGCAGCTGAAATCTCCACTACTGCCCTTCCTCTTCTGATCACCACTGTGGACCATCCATCTTGTTATGTTAGTTCAGATCCCCATCACTTGAGTTTTCACTGGCTTAGACTACCAGTGGCTGTGTGCCTTCACTTCTGATCTCTATTCCCACACCAACCTGTGGCACCTGTGCTTACCCTGTTCTGGCTGTGTTAGCCCTGGTTCACCCTGTGTTCACCCTTCCAGCTGCACCCACTGTGCAGGGCAGGCCAGCGCTCTGCATGGAATTGGCCGCAGCTGGAATCCTAAGACTCAGGACTTCCAGCAGTGTTGAGCGGTTAATGACACCTGGCTGTTAAGAGTCTCTCACTGGTGTGCATCATTCGCTGGCCTTGGTCTCCTTGTTAGTACAATGGGGACAGTAACAGAACCTGCTTCAGGGCTGTAGTGAGGAGTAAATTAGAAAATTCATGTAAAGTGCTTGGTTTAGGACCTGGTACCTAGTAAGTTCTCAACAAATGTTAGCAGCTATTGTTGATGTTATTATTTTCATTCAGATCAGTATTTTTTTAAAATTAGAGTCCTGCCATCCTCACAGAAAAGCCCTCCTAGTGTCAGTTCTGCACTGGGGATCTTGAATGTACACTCACATCTGCAGTGTAGCCACAGGGGCAGCCAATGCACAGCAGGGATTTCTGGTTTCACAATAAAACCAAATTTCTATTTAAGAAGGCCAAGTTTCCCAGGTAAAAGATTATTTATAATTTACAGGTGGTTTTGGAGGTGAGAGGGGAACAAAGAAGGAAATGAAGGTGTCTGAACAGCAAGGGCAAGGAGGGAAATGAAAAGCAGCAAAGAGTAAGAAGGTGAGAAGGAAGCACCATATCAGTACTCAGACCAGGTGCAGGTGCTACGTAAGCAGCTGTAAAGGTGCATACAGCCAAGAGCAGGAACCAGGGTGTGGGGATGAACACCCCAACAAAGAAAATTTCTCCAATGTGGAGAAATAAAGAATCTGGGAAGAATTAAAAAGCGAGTAAAAAGGCTGGTTAAAATTGTATACGATGTTTTGCATTCTTGATGTGCCTTTTAATTTTAAGCAAGTATAGCACTGCCTCTGTGGCATTCAAATGGATATGAAAATTAGCTGTGCTGTTTCCCAGCGAAGCACTCCAAAATCTCACTTGGGTTCCTCATTTTCAAGTGGCATCATCACC